TTCCTTTTTTTTTATGATATATATATGTAAGCTTGTGATGTATATAAGAATTTTTGAAGTTATGAATCGAGATGTTTATGTATGGCCATAATCAGTTTCTATGATTTCAAAGAATTCTTCGAAATCATGAATTTGTCGGTATTTATCTACATGAAATGTTATTCTTTTGTTACTTTTTATATATGTATATATGTGTCTGATCAATAAAAATGTTTTAGGAGTTAAAAACTCCCCATTTTCCACATTAAAACACAATTATGTCAAATTACTTGGAGAAAATAAGTTTTTAGTTAATGGACATTCATGGAGATATGATACGATTCATATAAACTAAATGTTACTTGTTTGACCCTAAAATCACCTAATATGTGAATAATGCGGAATTAAACTTACCAATTAAAAGCAACAAATCACTTTTTTATTGTTCTAAATGTTTATTCAATTTTATCCTATGTTGAATTACCACAATAGTAATTAAAGCAGTAAAAAAAACGCAAGATTTATTAACGGAGAAAACCCTTAATTGAGTAAAAATTTCGGGACCAAACCAGTATTTTCTATTATAAACAATACGAATTTAAATATGATCCAGTTTAGAAAACTCACTAAACTCCCTGATCTAATTCCTACAATCTCCAAAATACGCTGGAATGTACTTTACTCACACATGCTCTCGATCTTCTGGAATTGTCTCTCTCATGTAGATCACCAAATTTCATTAAGCTTTGAAAGTTATTAAGAAAGTACATCAAGATTATATCTAGGAAGTAGGTATTTTGGATTATTTGACTTTGATTTTTTTTTTCCAACTCATGGTTGATTGATCTTAAGAATCAAAAGTTTAATCTCAATGTTTGGATATGTTCTTGGATCTTGAATTGATGTTATGATGATGTAAAATAATGATCAACCACCCACCAAAAACGTATTGGGCATTGAGTATTTATAATAAGAGGTATTTGAGTAGTATAGGATATATAAAATTCTTGAAAATTGCAAACTAGGGTTTCACGTATAACACCGTCGCTTAAACGCCAGACTAACGACATGTGTGTCGCTCAAGCAATAGTCAAGCGACGATGATTCTGTTTTTTCCCCTCGAGTTTCAGCTAGGTGATGGCTAACCTAAATCCGACGACTTTTTCTTCATATTCCATACTCAAACCCAAAAAACTTCTAGTTCATCTATACAACTCCCAAAAAATCCTTAATTTTTACGACTATTTTATAATAATCATTTTCTTTTATAATAATCATTTTGTTTAAAAATTGCCAATACAACATAAATCATTCATTTTCCTCCATTTTTTTTTAATGAAAAACGAATTTGTCTTCGGTTTTCTCTCAAAAATCTTTTTTTAGTTAAGTTATGCACAAAGGAATGAAAGGGTGTGAAGGATGAAAGTTTCTACACCATTTTTTCCTTTATATTTCAAGAAAATCAAGATAAATGGTATTAATTGTTTATGCCCTTTGTTCATGATGCATATGCTTGTGGTATTAGAATTCTTAAAGATACGAACCGAGAGATTTATGTATGGTCATGATCGATTTCTGTGATCTTAAGAGATCATTCAGAACCATGACTTTGTCGGTATTCATCTATGTGGGATGTTAAATCTTTTCTGTTACTTTGTATATACTAGTCATAGTTGAAAGTGTGTTGAACGTTATTTTAAAATGTTTTACGGTGCTATAAAAATAATATTGTGGATGTGGAAATATATAAAATAATTAATACAAATTATTTATGTGGAATGAACTTTTGATTCAAATGAAATAAAAACTAGTTTGTAAAACATAATTTAAAAATTGAGGAAGTCAATTAGAATAGTCCTTCTATTTACGTTTTTTTTATCTAAAATGAACATTCAACGAATACCATCATTTCTTCATATTCGCTTAATATGCACTAAATACATCAATTAAAATTATTTTTTATACATATGCATTATATTCCCCCATTTACCTTCTTTGTATCTTAACATTCATTGAATAAATTAAATAGAAGAAAACTCTAAAAAATATTCATCTTTTGTTCCAATTTTTTTTTAATTTATTAAATTTATTATACAATCAAGTGGAATGAATCTGTCAAATGTACACTGATCATAACTAAATAATTGACAAAATAATTCATGATAATATTGTTTAAATAATTAAATGAATCAAATACATATTGAAAAATGAAAAGGTAATTAATCTATCAAATATGATTACATAAATTAAATGAATATTAAAATAATAAAGATAATAAATGTGTCCAATGTACATTCCCCACAACTAAATAGTTGACAAAATAATTAATATAATATTATTCAAGTGGTTTAAATGATTAATAAATTAAATACATATTTGAAAAACAAATAGTAGCATATTAATCAAATACATAAACAAAAAAGGTCATGAATCTGTCAAATATGGTTAAATAAATTAAATATATATTGAAAAATAATAAGTAATGTAATGGATGTGTCAAATGTACATTCATCATAATTAAGTAGTTGACTAAATAATTAATAATAATATTGTTCAAATGGTTTAAACAATTAATAAATTAAATATATATTGAAAAACGAAAAGTTGAGTATTATTGAAATAACTAAATACATATTGGAAAATGAAAAATAAAGTATTATTGAAATAACTGAATTATAATAAGGATAAAATCGTCCAAAAATAATTCTCACTTGATGTGATATTTAATACATTATAGATGTGTATATATTTTTTATTAATGCAAAGGTTTTTGGAGTTAAAGCTCCTCATTTGCGAAGTTGCAGCACAATTATGTCAAGCTAATTGGAGAGAATAAGTTTCTTATTAATGGGCATTCATAGCGATATGTTACAATTCACATAAATCGTTCATTTTTCTCTATTTTACATGAGAAATGAATTTCCTTTCATTTTCTCCCAAATATATATTTTTTAGTTTAGTTAAGTTCAAATGAATAGAAAGGGTGTGAAAGAGAACTGTTTTTACACCATTTTTTCTTTATATTTCAAGGAAATCAAGGTATCTGCTACTTATTATTTACCTTTTTTTTCATGATATGTATTTATCTATGCTTGTGATGTATATTAGAATTTTTGAAGTTATGAAGTGAGAGCTTTATGTATGACCATAACCAATTTTTACGTTCCCAAGGGATTCTTTGGAATCATGAATTTATCAATATTCATTTACGTGAAATGTTTAATCTTTTTTGTTACTTTGTATATATGTGTATATTTTTTTGATCAACAAAAACGTTTTTGGAGTTAAAGATCTTCATTTTCCATATTAAAACACAATTTTGTTTATATTTCGTTCTAAGGAAAAGCAAGGGTGTGAAAAAGAAAGATTTTTACACCATTTTTTCATTTATATTTCATGAAAATCGAGGTAGGTAGTACTAATTTTTTACCATTTTTGTTCATGATATGTTTATATCTATGCTTGTGATATGTATTAGAATTCTGAAGCTATGAACCGGTATGTTTATGGATAGTAATAACCGGTTTCTAAGAATCTAAGGAATTCTTGGAAATCATGAGTTTACTAGTGTTCATCTACATAAAATTTTAAATTCTTTTCTGTTATTTGTATATATGTGTATATGTTTCCGATCAAAGGGTGCACCAAATGATATAAGTTCTATTAGGTTTAAAGCTCACACTTTCTATGTTAACAAATTTTCAAATTAAAAGATGGTTGAAGAAGTGAGATTCACATAGATTACAAAGGATATGAAGGAAGAAAGCTACTTTATTTTTTGTAATTAGTCACATTTAAAGAATTTCTAGTTTTTACTAGTTATTTTTAATTTTTGAAAGATGTTAGTTTATCTTTACTATTTAAAAGACTGTCTAGTTATTTTTTTCTTAATGTGAACATTATAATTTTAATTGGTTTAAGTATGTCGTTAATTTAAGTCGCTAAAAAAGTTAAGCCTAAATCTAAGACTTGTAAAGAATAAAATTTAAGGTTTCTGTCCGAACTTTATCTCGTCACCTCGAACATAATTCTTTGAGTTTTTTGGACAAGATCAGTTGGATTAGATTGTACTATGAGTCTCTCTATCCATGGGCTCTGGAATCAAGTCATTTAGAGGTTGGTAGGAAAAGTTATGGCATTTCTCATGCATTGCGATAAGTGTACCCAACCCGATACCTATAGGTAGCATGAGTTTCAACAATTCATTAAATGGTTCAACAATAAGTTTGTTGAAAATTTAGTTTAATTGATTTTTTCTTTGAAAAAAACTTAAAATCCTAATATTGCATGTTAGATAGCGAATTGAACTCAAGATTTGGGTCATTAAAGAATATGTACAACTAATATTTACAAGGAAATTTATCGCCAATTGAACAGTAATCCAGTTTTTTGAATAAAAACCCATATATTCCAAACAACATAAACTGGATACAAGTAGATACGAGTAATCCAGTTCAATATAGAATTCGTGAAGATACGAGTTTATTGGACTAGGGCTTTGCATAGATAATCTAGAAGAACACCTCCCGTCCAACTCTACTATATTCGGGTGATGTCTTTAAATACACCACCATAATATGACCAAGGGTTTGGATCTATAAGAGGTGAGTAATAGACAAACACTAACGATGTCATCAATTGAAAGAGGATTAAGATGCATTTTCATACTACAAATCACAGTGTAAAAGTTGTTTTTCAGATCTACCATACAAAATCAAGAACCAGAAAGAAAAGTTAAACATCAAGTCTTTAGTCAGTTAAGTAACTGGTTGTATTCGATCGAATTGGCAAAAGTAATGTCATCAATTGAAAGAGGATCAAGATGCATTTTCATACTACAAATCACACTGTAAAAGCTGTTTTTCAGATCTACCATAGAGAATCAAGAACCAGAAAGAAAAGCTAAACATCAAGTATTTAGTCAATCTAGTAACTGGTTGAATTCGATCGAATTGCCAAAAGTGAAGATTCACACAGTCCTTATTCTCGCAAAAGAAAATAAAGCAACAGATTACTCAAATTCAGCTTTCAATCCAGTCAGCATAGATACGACCAATCTCCTCAACATTCCACTTCATAAAGCACCTTTTACCTCGGAGCCTCTGCTCACAAGCAGTCTTTTGTTCAGAATCACTCGATTGCATGGCAACAGCTTTTGCATTGGAAGCATTTGCACATTCCAGCTCAGAAATGCAACCAGACCTTTGCAATTCTGTCCATCCAATTAACAAGAATTAGTTGAGAATTTATTTTTCATCTCCCTTGAAAGAGGGAAAAACCAAGAAAGGGGCAGAAGCAGATGAATAAAAAAAAAGGGCAATGCTACGTGTACAGAATTTTTTACCTAATCTTTTACCTAAACTCACAATAGGGTGTGGAGATCACATTTTTGGGAGTTTTTTATTCACGCAAGCCCCGCGCACATGTGAGAGGGTGTAACATTTTCGGTAAAGACAATTTGGTACAAATAGTTTTATTAAAAAAAAAGTGGCTATCCACCGAGTGCCTCTTGCATTTCAAGAGGCTTAAATGAATTGAAGATGAAAGGATTTGCTATAGGTTAAAACATCTAATGCTCAACCAATGGGAAGGTAGGACCATAGAATGAACCACTTTTTAATCCTTATAATGACAGATGTTGAGGAACAACTTCCAGCATTTATCCCTTACTATACATGCCTTCTGTAGAATGCTAACGTTACCCCCTTAGTGCAAGTATTTTTCAACTCCGTATCACAGTTGCACTTTCATTTCTTAACCATAAAACCCCAGGGGAAATATGCACATAAAAAAGGCGGGGCAATACGCACATAAACAGCCACAGTTGAAAAACAATGTACCCTGTAAGTGCAATGTAATCACCAAAAGAAGCTGCAAAATAACAAAGATGTAGATGCTTGGGAAAATTAAGGCCATATAAGATATGACATTACATAAATGTAACCATAAAATCTCCAGCACTATGTACTACCAAATAACTGGTATTAGGCATTCTCAATTTTATCAACACTCTCACGACCATCAATTTCCGTAAGTGTTGGTTCTGCTGTGATCTTCTTTTAGACGCCTCATCCTAGTGACTTCAAACAAATGAACTCAAATATGTACTTAAGATAAATATCTAATTAATTGTCTTGCATGGCTGGAAGATGATGCTTATTCAAAGGTGGTGTTGTGGTTTAAAAACCTGTTAATGCAACTGAAAATAAAGCGCACACAGTCAAATGTGCTTATCCTCAGTGCGATTGGACTCATTAAACTTGAGAACATAGAAGTATCACCACTCAAAAGTTAGATTAACCAGAGTCATTTTCTTACACATGAAAAACTTGGGCAGATAAAAGTATCATTAATCAACCTGCACATCATTTTCTGAAACAAGAAAACTCAGAACTGTGAAGAAACTTCCCCTTCAAAAAATTATTCAAGCAGGCCCATGAAACAAAATTTGGTTAAACAATATTTGTATAAGAGCAGCAAAATAAATTACCAAACAGAAAACTTCTCGTGAGTGTTCGGCGAGGAACACTCTTTAAGAATTCAGACTAGAAGAACCAACTACTTATAATGGATTATCTAGCCTACATAATCAAAATGCTTTGATATTTTCAAGAATTCAAATAAATATTATTCCGAATCAGGAGCTCAAAATTTTTGTGACTCGACTCAGCAATTCCAGGGCAGATAAGAAGTAACTCCACTCAACAGCACAGTTTCGGTTGTGCCCTTATCTCATGCAAGAAACTTGCCTCTCTCTAAAAAACCAAAAAGACTGTCCTCCTATAGGAACATTTAGAACAAATATTTACTACATAAGATGTTATATTTGTAGCAGAACATGTCAATAAATGGAAACAATGAATTAGATATCGCCAAAGAATTGAAATGCAGTAAATTAAGTGAAGCGCTGATGGACCTGCACGTCTATGAGCGTAGACACAATTCAGCCCATGAGGACAGTGTCCAAATTTCTCCCACTTGTTGCAGAGCTTCATCTTGCGAAAATTCTGCCTCTGATACTCTTGACCTGCATTCAAACTCTTGCATTCAATCTGATCAGCTCCATTCAAAATGCTAATAGCAGAACTCTCCCTGTACTCACCTACACGTTCATGAAGAAATTGGCATTTATCGCCGTAAGGACAACCTTTCCCACTTGAAAACTTAAAACACGTTTTCCATTTATTCATTGTATTTCTTTGATACCCATTTGCAAGCCCTCTCAAACTTGAATTCATAATGTCACTCATGCCATGGGCATAATGACAATTGTCACCATAATAGCATTTGCCCCTTTGGAATAGCATGCACAACTCTGATTTGAAGAGAATGTCCAGTTTCGACCTGTTGATTGTTAGGGAAGCCCTTGGATTCCTCATTGCTTCAGAAAACCTAGGCTTTTTTAAATGCCCAAACTCAGCATTAGATTGATTAAAAAATTGCTGGTTAGATGCATCGTTGACACCAGGAACACTTCGAGTATCATTCTCAAGAACACTGTCCATTTTCAAAAGATTTCAGGGTTTCGAAAAACGTTAAATTTTGTGAAATTGCTTCAGCTTTTTTTCCTAGGAATTCAAATATCAAGTGACCTAGATGAAACTTTAGCAATAACTTCGGATTGAACTGAAATCTGGAGAATGCGCAGTTGGGATTTAAGCCTCAAATCCGCAAAAAAATCAATCAAAAATCACAAATGTGAGATTTGGGCACGACTCTCCAATAATGGAAATATATAGTTTGATAATCAGATAAAATCATACTTAGCCATAACCAGAGTTCAGATTTGCATGCTTCATTGTGAAATTGATTAAGGTGAAAAGGAAGTAAAGAAATTATGAACCCTGTAAATTCCAAATTCCAAAACCCTCCCTTGGTACTATGAGTGTGAAACTGAAAAGTCTGAAATGGAAATGGAAATGGAAATGGAAAGCGAAAGCTCGTTTGGCTAATTTTGAAAACCTTTTATAAGTAACTAATTTTTACTCATAAGTAAAGGGGCATCAAATGGTTCTCTTCACATCAAATGAATCGATAGGACTCTAGAAGATTCGTATTAGTTTTTCATCAATACACTTGCTTGGGTTACTAAAGAGATTCAACGTGGAGATACTTACGACGGAACTGATTAATATGATATTTCACAATTAAGTGACTATCAATACTTTCATGGACCATTCACTTGGCACGTAGGAAAATTTCTTGTAATGCGTCGTGGGGGCAACAAATCCTTAGGCTAATTGTCCTCGACTATTTAATAAAATTAGACTCTTAATATGATCGAGTAATTTATTTTGTAATTGAATCTTGACTATTCATTCGGGATTTTGAAGTATTGTAACGGAAAATGATCTTTAAATTTTTTTGTGTCAACTAACTCTATTTAAAATACATGTAGGAAAAGAAACGTAATCTGAAATCACGCACTTTTAACAAGTCGACTTAATTAATAATATATTTTAATTCAAAAGATGAAAAAAGTCACTTGGCCAATCTCGTACCTCTATCCTCGAAATGAAAGTCACGTATCTAAGAATCACAAATTTATTTAACTAGTGGTATGAGATATCTCAATTTTGTTAAAACTTAGAATAATGAACTTAAAAGTATCTTCAATAAACTCTTTATTAGCCTCATTATCAGTATTTTAAAAAGTTGGGCCTCTTTTTGATGCGTCAAATATATTCTTTACTCGAGAAAATTTCACCCAATAACCCATATTAAAAAATAATTCCAATTTTACTACCCAACTTGTTTTATTAAAGAAATACTATTTATTAATGTGTAGTCAAAATGATCTTTTTTTTTTTTAAGTACAAATTACACACTTTAACTAAATCTACGCAAATGAAATTCAAAATTAGTAAAAAATGATCTTCCCTTTTAGACACTAAAGATTACTCAATATTGCAATCAACATCAAAACTCAATTTGAAGAAGAAACTCTTTTAACCTTTTCATAAAAACTCTCACATCATCTGCAAATTTATACACATTTCTCCCCAAAAAAAAAAAATCACTATAGAATGTATATGCCCCCAAAAATTGCATCTTTGTGCAATGATTATTAAGAATTCTCCAATGGAAAATATGTCCACGTATGTTATTTTGCCTTTCAAAATTGATCCATCCGTCAAACCCTTCCTTAGAGTCACATGATCATCGACGAACATTGACTCACCATTAACGAAAATAGTGATTGAGGATTCCACTGAAATGCATTGCCAACTGGATACAAAATTGGCCAAAAATCCACAACGTTGCAACAATGGGAGGAAGGTGAGGGCAGTTGTTGATCACACGTCCAACATGAAGAAGAAGAAGAAGAAGAAGAAAGAAAGAAATACACCAATATGATTCACATGGGCTTGACTTTCAGGATTTTCGATTATTATGGAAGTAAAGTGTGGGATAAAATAATGGAGAATCAAAGAACATCAAACCAAACCGAAGGCCCGTGTTCACACGGTTTCCTTAAATCGAATTCGCCGCCTCATCAGGGTGCACGAGGTTTTGATCGGTGTTCGATTCCCAGGATACAATCGGTCGTCGGCTCCCGCTGCACTACGTTAACCGCCTAAGAACTAGCTGGGTCTTCCTCTCGAAGAATTTAGCAAAGGAGGAATGGGAAATAAAACCG